AAATTATAACAAAGAGTTAGAACAAACTTAGAAGCCCTGCAACTTTTATCAGCTTTTATCAGCTGAGAAATCTGTCATTATCCTAGGTAAGTGTTTTCCAAAACCTCGTGGTAAGCTATGAGTAGCTGGCATCAACACCCTCACGAGCAAATCTGTATTTATAAAGGGAAGACACACTGCAACTTTGTTAAGCTTGAAAAAGTTACTTTCAAGAAGCACCCAAGTTTCATGAGCTCAGTAAAAAAAAAAAATCTCTTATAAACTTTCCTGAGAAAAAGCAAGCTGTTTTTTTTCCTCTACAGTGATTAGAAACCCTGAACTTCTGCGAGTAGTCAACAGGAGTGGTTTTTCACTCAAATCAGTTTGCTTGTTTCTGTATTGAATGAGCAGTCACATGTAAGGAGTAGCAAGTAGGTATCACGGATCACTGAGCCGCTAACACATGGCAGGAGTCATACAAGCTTAGAAGGAAAGGAAGAGAGGAAAGAGTTTACATTAATATTTTTGCCTAAAGGAAAGTTTTATATATAGAAAATAAAGACACTCTGAGTTCTGATTTATTCTGGAATAAGATGAGAGGGAACCTCTGGCCTGCCTCCAGATGAATTACCCGTAGAGCGTTCCACGCAGCCTTGCACTCTGGTGCAGACAGGAGACTAGAAATGACTGTACTGCAGGGACACAACAAGCATCCTGATCCTCTACTCAGCCCTGTAATCCACGACACACTCTTAACTTGCTGCAGATGCGAAGTCTATTAGCTTCATCTGTAGGGTGGATAAGCACAACTATTTGCTTAACATCAATATCTCTGCTTTCCACAAGCTGAACTAGATCAGGGATCCTTAGCCTACCTACTAGGAGAGGTAAGGAAATGAGAAGAGCTTACAACAGCCCTGTGAGGCAGTGCTTGCCCTGCCCTTTGGGTCAGGCTGGCAGCCCACGCATCAAGTACTTGCCACCGGCCTCCAGCCAGAGACAGACTGCTCACTTATCACCTATTTCTCCAGATGGATGATGGAAGGCAGCAACTCTCACTCTTAATGGAGTTTTCCCTATTTACCCAGACAACAACTTCATCATCTCAGCTATCCCTCATTAGCAATTAAGAGCTACCTTTGCAATATGTAACTGCCTTCTGCAATACCTGTATTCCCCCCAGATTAGTGGCACCTAATTTGGTCGAGATGCTTGTTAAATCACAGCCCTGTGAGAAGGGCAGCATATAGGAACTGGACCATGAGAGGCTCAGCTTTAATTCCTGATGCAATGTTAACACATGGTATTAGTAAGAGGCTGTTTCTCTTCACTACTGTGCTACTGGTTGTAAATAGTTGAGTCCTAGTCTCCCAATCAATCATCTTAAAAATCAGTATGCTTTAATCATCAATCAAATGCATTTTTATAGGGAAGCAGGAAGTATTATTTAGCAAGGAGGCAGCAATTTTTAAACCTGTTTTTTTTTGGCTGCCTGAATTAAAGAAAAACTACAGTTCCTGCCAGCGGCTAAGGCATCAAAACAGAATTGTATTGCAGAGTTCTGCTCCTTCTGGGGAAAGGACCCACATCTAGGAAGTCAGCTGAACACAAGATTTAAGATCTACTGAAGGACCAACCTTGATTCTTCGAGCAAATGCACCCAGCTTTGGGCTTTACCCCTGAAGAGTCAATGAATGCTGACCAGTGACCATAGGAACACAGGACCTCAAACGCCAGTTTCTAAAATGAAACTACATTAGTAATGCTTACTATGAAATATGGCCTATTTTCATGGTTTTCAAATGAATATAGCACAGAAATACGCCAAAGATATTTGAATTTCTGAGTGAATATAAAGCTGTTGAACTTTAAGGGGGAGAGTTTCAAAGGCACAAACGGCACTTAACTTCCAATTATGCCTTGGAAAATGTCCCACTAATGGCTAATATAGCTGATTTATTTTCATAAACTTTAATTACTTCACACTTTTTTTTTACTGAACAGTATAATCAGTTCAACAGAGCAGTTTAAACACAATGCACCAACTAAAAAGATCTGCTCCAATGCTAGGTTTCCATATGCAAGTTTAAATTCATTATCAAGATAGCTAAATACTAGAATTAATAACAGATGTACTAGTTTACATTAAATCAGATTACAAGTATTTTAACTGGAAGAGATTTTACCAACATTATTTGGATCAAATAATTTGGGATAAAGACCATATTTTTGTTTCAGCTAGTGTGAAGTCAGGGGCTTCTCATATTTTAGTAGTACAAGCAATAGTAGCAGTAAAAATCTAGGTTATGAAGTGTTATTTTGACAGCTTGCGATACCAGTGCCTGGAAGATCCAGAAGGACAGAACAGCGTGGAAAAAACATGCAGTTTTAGGTTTCCTTGCATGCCATTCCCTTGTGCTACAGGTGTAGGCTGAGACATTTGGTTAAGCATTCAGTGTGATTTAGTGGTACATTTCTTAGCGTTGAAGTCTTTTTTTTTTACTTATTTTCAAACAGAAGAGTCTTAATTAAGGTGGTTTACCTGCCCTGAGGATTTCCAGGACACTTCTGGAAAGAGCCTGCCTGCAGGCAGGGCTGTCTGTTCTGAGTCGAGGTGAGAGCAGGTGCTGTCTGCTAAAAAGCGAGAAAATATTGCCCTCTAGTGCTGAAAGCCAGCAGAGGATGCAGAGTCCAAGAGGGGGTTTTAATTATTGTTTCCAAGATACCTGCCTATCTCATGCTAACAAAACTAAGACTTGTTGCAATTCGTTGTTTCTTGGGCAGATTACCCACCCAGCGTGGCTGCCCTTCCCATGGAGAGCAATTCTCCCGGTCTGAAAAACCCTCAGTCAGGCCGAGTGACTCACCAACGTCACCAAAACCAGAACACAGCCTCACAGAGGATGCTTCACTTGATCCAGTCGTATCTTCTGATAAAATCTTAATTGGGGGTTTAATAAGAAATGAGATCCCAGCAAGCAGACAGAACTGCATAACAATACACATACAATTATCAGCATGATTTTAATTTCCTAGTGATAGCAGTGATTTGTTTTATTTCTTCTCTCATTCATAAGAGATCACTAAATACAAAACATTTTTCTCATTTACGTTCACTTCCATCCACGGATAAACTACCCACCTTGCCCAACTTCTGGCCAATTGCTGTGTGACACACAGCAGGGTCCCTGATGGAGTAGCCCACAATACCAGGGGTATGCATCTCCTAGCAAGCTTCCAACTGAGAAAGCTCAAGCAGATAAGAGCCTCAATCTGCCAAAGTCACAAATGGCCTCAGCAATAACTCCCTCTCCCTGAACTGCGAGAGCAGCAACAAGCCTCTCGTGAGCCAGCAGACCTATTAATTCACAATTACTTCAATATTCTGTTCATTGCTTAATAAGCTCCAAAAGCAGTAGAGCACTCTAATACTAGGGGAGTGGTATATGAGGCACTTAAAGCAAAATTAAAACTTTTCACTTGCATTTTCAAGATCCTGAACGGACATGATCAAGAGGCTCCTTAGAACTGTATACCACATTCATAAAACATACTGCTAGGCAAATTTCTTCAATACCTTTCTACAAGCATTTTCCAGTTTTAGGTGTAAAGCTTCAGATGAATGAATAGTTTTCAGAATGAAACTCAAAAGCATAATCTGAGTTAATGGAGGAGGACACATCAACTGACAAGTATCTGCCTGGACAGAGAGTGGGTTTTTCCTTGCAGTTCAAAAATCATCCCATGTTTACAGTCTCATATTGTTTCAAGAGGTAAACAATATAAATAATTCAGAAAGATGTTAATTCCTGTTTAAATCCATAGAGCAGCCTAGGCTATTTATTTAGTTAGTTTTAATTGCCTCCGAGTCATATGGTTTATTGTTACCTATGGTAATTTTTCATTAATTTAGGTAGAACTACCAGGAATTGCACAGGGGCTTCAAAGCTGGACAGGCAGTCAGGTTTAAGCACCTCATACTTCAGCCACACAGCACAGCAGGGACAGACTGAAGCCCCAATCCTTTAGCTGGAGGTGTCATGGCCCAGGGCACGTACCTACATGCCAGGCAGCACACACCAAACAGCTCCCTTGTGGTACTTTTCACACTACGTACCACCTCCCTTTCATCCCTGATGGATGAAACAGGCACAGCTACACCCTGCAGTTTTAGTAGCCTGCTCGTTCACTTGGCAAATCCATGCACAATCTTTATCATTCCAGACACTCCTTAAACAGACTGTAAAATACTGATCACTCCACGTACAGAACGGAAACTGGAAAAAAAAAGTCCTACAAATCTTTCCTCAAAGTCCGCTTCTGTCTTTCACTTTGGTTTCATTAGTTTCACAGTCCAACACAGAATCTGTTACCCCTTTCAAAATACTTAACTAATGTGAGTTTGACATGGAACATGGACCAATACTTAAGAAACATTTGCTTTGTCCTACAATCCTCAGTCATTCCCATTTGCAATAGCAATGAACCATTTTAGATAACAAGTGCCCATAAATTAAGAGATGCATGTCCTCAAAAACTTACGTTTAGACTTCATTTTTATACCCTATGGGAGAGCCGTTTAATACAGCTTATCTGAATACATCAAGAAAGCAAGTGACACTGAGTGCTCCTTGAACTGATCGTAAACTTCCCTCTTGACTCAGATTACCAGTATCAATCACCATCTTTATCAACGTGTATGTTTAATTGCTTTATGGATTTTGTTTTATTTACTTTTCTTTTACTTCTTGTTGCAGATAATGTTAAGAGTTTTCGTCATTGATTATTGGCAGCTGCTGCATTCTGAGAAAACCTCTTTCAATTTAGCTTTCCAGATCCTTCGACTTCCCAGTCCAACAGCTTTATAACCTCACCAACAGCTTCATAAATGCACTGCAATGGTCACATGAACGTCTTGGGAGGGGAATCGGCACCTCTGCATCTCCTCATTCCTATGGCACTTTAGGAAGAGAGAACCAAAAAAGCAGCACGTCCAACAGAATTTGGAAGTCCTGCAAAAGATGAATCTAATCGTGAAGCTCCGCAGAAGTTTCCGAACGCTGGTCATTCTCCTGGCGACCTTCTGCTTGGCAAGTATCATCATTTCTGCCTATTACCTCTACACTGGCTACAAGCAGGAAATGGTCCTCATGGAAACCACCGGAGAAGCGGAGTGTGCAGACATCAAGCTTCTACCATACAGGTCCGTGGAGCTGAAAACAGCTAAGCCAATTGATCCATCTAAAACTGATCCCACTGTCCTCCTGTTTGTGGAAAGCCAGTACTCCCAGCTGGGACAAGACATCATAGCCATCCTCGAGTCCAGCAGATTTCAGTACCACATGGTCATCGCGCCAGCAAAGGGGGATATTCCCCCTCTCACAGACAATGGAAGGGGAAAATACACAATTGTTATATATGAGAATATTTTAAAGTATGTATCCATGGACTCATGGAATAGAGAGCTTCTGGAAAAATACTGTGTGGAATACAGTGTTAGCATAATTGGTTTTCATAAAGCCAATGAGAACAGCTCCCCAAGTACAAAACTGAAAGGATTGCCATTACATCTTTACAATAACGTAGCCCTCAAAGACTGTGTGGTAAACCCTCAGTCTCCCCTGCTGCGCATTACCAAAGCACCAAGGGTTGAGAAAGGCCCACTGCCAGGTGAAGACTGGACAGTTTTCCAGTTTAACCATTCCACCTATCAACCTGTGCTTTTAACTGAACTGCAGACCTCCAGACTGCCCCCGGCAGCATTGCCAAAGGCCGCTCTGTATGCAACCGTCATCCAAGACTTGGGCCTTCATGATGGGATTCAAAGAGTCCTTTTTGGAAATAACCTGACCTTCTGGTTGCACAAACTGATCTTCATTGATGCCATCTCTTTCCTGTCGGGGAAGAAGCTCGCACTGTCCTTGGATAGGTACATTCTGGTCGACATAGATGACATCTTTGTTGGGAAAGAGGGAACGAGGATGAACATCAATGATGTGAAGGTAAGGCAAGAACTGGGGGATACCATCCCAGATAAATATATATGTGCAGATGGGTATTTAAAGAGACACAAAGCTTGAAAAAGCTGGGAAGCTCCTAGTAAAGGCTGAAAGTGCACAAGTCTAGCTAGCAGACACAGAAACCATAGCCTGAGTCTGTTTACCCACATACATACAGAGATGCATTCATGTATGTGTATATACGTTGATACATAGAGATGGCCTCATACGGTAATGCATATAGTGAATGTACTGGCTGCCTCTTGCTTATATAAGTTCTGTTCAAAGGCTTCACCCAGAGCACCCGGGTAACAAAGCAGACTTTTTATACCTCACAGAACAGAGATCTTTCTTCAAACTAAATAAAAGGATCTCTGTTTTTAGAGTAAGTTTGCTGCCGAGTTATCTGAATTTTCAGGTAATACCACACGTTTTATATTGCATTATTTTGTTTTTCCCTATGCATATACAGACATACACATGTATGTATATGGCATATATATACCACCATTTATAGGCATTTTCATTATTTCTGAACAGTAGACAGAACAATAGAAGATGGTTGCCTTTTTAAATCTCACATAACTATCACTATGTTTAAAAAGAACTAAAAGAGCAAAAGGAATAAAGCTTGAAAAAATTAGACACATTCTGACTTAAAAGAATTATCAGGATAATTTTCATTAGCAGACAAGCATTTAAAGTTGTTAGTGACAGCATGGAAGCATAACCTCACTTTAGCAAGTGACATAACCATCTGATATGACAAAAGGCCCACAGACTATTCTTCAGGGGCTCTTTTAAACTTATTTTCATAGTCTGTAGTATCCAGGGACACCATTAGATTTGTTCAGAGTAATTTTCAAACATGTGTGCAACTTGGAAAGAACAGACAGAACCCAATAGCATGACAGTTATTTCCCTGCAATTTTCCACATGTGGGAATTGTCATATGCAGAGATTAATTGAAGTTCCTAAGCTTGCAACATCACATTCTCAAACCTTTATTTTGGAGGGTTTTTTGCCTGTAAATACCCCAATGCTTTCATGAGCAATAAGCCAGCCTTTTATTTCTAAGCACAGATTTCTATTTTTTTTATTAATTCTCATTTCCATTTCCACATTTTCTATAATGATCTGGATGAGGATGCAGATGAATAAGAGAGGTATCAAAATAACCAGCAAAAGCAGTAGTCATATACAATCAAAACAATTTTGCACATCAGAACAGTTCTGGTAGTTCTATTAGCCAAACCAGGCATATGAATACTCATCAGGGCTGATTGCTAGCACCAGGCACTCCAACTGCTGATGTCTTGAGATCTGAGCACTGTGCACAAGCTCAGTGATCAAGTGCTCTCCCTCTGGAAATACACGGTAAAATGCTCTGAGAAAGGGCTTGTATACAAGAGGAAATTAACTGAAAAGGCAATTGTCGAACAAGATTTTCGGCAATAGCCTTCCGTCTGCACATTTCAGAGAGCGTCTTTTTCTGATGTGGTTTCTTCCACTGAGGAAGTCTATTATGCTGCATTGGTTAAAGAGCCCCTTTTACTATAAGAAGAGTATCCACACAGAGTCACTTGGAAATTCAAATCATACTTTTGACTGGAATAATCTCACTAGGCAGAAAACACTAAGTCACCTCCTTTATTATCCAGCCATCAGCAACATCACTAGGCAGACCTTTACACCTGTGCTTGGCAGAGCAGCCATGCTTCATTGCTCACTATAGGAGACACAGCAGAAAACTCCAGATCCAGGGGCTTGAGTAGGACCCAGATGGCAGACTCATAGCTGTTAAATGTGTTCAGCATCACTTTTATATGCTACACACATTTACCGATCTGAAAACCAAGCGTCCGCATTGCTGACTATCTTGGAAATAACAAGAGAACGCATCTGCTAGGACTCAGACTTTTTTAAAAAAAAAATTTAAAGGAATAGGTGGTAAGTCTGACAGATTATGTTTGAGTCAAGGTATGAAGGGAAGCTTTCCTTCTTCCCACATTTCTCCAGTGTTTAATTAGCATCCCACTTACATCGCAAAACCACCAATAGTGCCACTCAGAGGATAAATCCCCGCCTCACCTCAAAAAAGAAATCATGCCACAAACGTCAACCACAGGGTGAAATCTTTTCCAGGCACAGGCTCAGAGCCAGTCTTGCCTCAAGTGCTCTTGTGGGGACAATAAAAAGTTGATCTCCCTTTTAGTTGATGTTCACATGTAAATCCACTCTGCAGCTTGACCCATCCATTCATGTTCTCTCCTTAACATTGCGAGTTTCATTGCAGATCAGTTACCTGGTACAGATTTGTTCCTCAGGGTGTTTCACAAACATTTGCTACAGCAATCAGTCCACTCTTATAGACTGGACATTCCCAGAATACATTAACATTCAAAACAGGATGTTTGCTAAGGAACACAGCACCAAAATAAGAGAGCACTTTGGTTAGTTTACAGTAAAGGATAATTACAGCCAGTTAGAGAACAATCTCCCAAGTCACTTGGGGAAGGAGGGAATTAAGAACCAGTGGGGTTGCCTTCACCTCTTGAGGCAGAGCAGCTTCTTTGCTTGAAAGGCAAAAGTAGCAAAGGGAGACAATAGTTAAGAGGCTGATATTTAAGTGATGTCAAACTATTGCCATGCATTTTGAAGCAGCAGCTGTGGCCAGCTGCTCAGAGAGGGTTGTGTTTTTATGGCAGGTAGGAGGCTGTTTCTGACACAAGAGGCACATAAGATTTAGGGGCAGGTTGTGCTTGTCCTGTGGGGTATGATAAGGGTAGAAGTGTGAATGGCTCTGATGGCTAGAGAGATTAGCACAGGCTCTGTATGTTGTTCAACAAGAACCTGGTAGAATTTGGACCATCTCCTTTCTTTCCTGAAGTGCATATTACAGGTACATTTAGCACCAAACAAACAAAACCCAAACAAACAAAACCAGCCCCACAATCCACATTTATCATGTTATGCACCTTAAAACTCATTTCATCCTGTTCCCTGCAATGCAAGCTTAAAACATCAGCACCAACAATGTAAAAGAAAATTTGTTATTTATACAGTGCTTTCAAAAATAAAACAAAAGAACCATATAAAGCGGTGCTTGTAATGAAACAATTTCTCAACACAGTACATTCCGCTGCCTTATGCCACATCACTACTTCTCCAATTCCTTCAGTTCTTAGCATTTGTTACTGCAAGCAGCGTCGGTTCACTTTGCAGTTATACGGCCTCTCTGTTAGGCTCTGCTGAGGCACATGCACACCCGTGTCCCTGGGGCACGCTTTCAGACATGGTAGATTCCCAGGTGTGTGCAAGAAAACTGCAAATGAACTGTTACACACCTCCTAAACTGTATGAAAATTACAACTAAATGACATCACTCTGTTCAACCTCTTAGGCATTTCCTTCCAGTGACCAAAAGTATAACAACTGCCAACCCAAAGGACACGCGACTAGCAATGAGTCTTCTGATAACAGTATTCATATGTAACAACAAAAAGACAAGTAACGTCATTCCTGTGTTTCTCAATTAGGCGCTTCAGGGATATATATAGTTTTATAAAGGGTGGCATCAGCTAGAGAAACAGAGATTAGAGAACGGAGTTATTATGGGCTCTGTTTACCACAAAAGATCTCCTAGTCCCTTGTATTACAGAAGTTGTGCAAGGTCATAGGTGGCTAAGTAATTAAACAGGAACTCCGCAAAGCCACAGAAAGCTATTTTCCCAAGCTTTGCAGAGATCTATCTTGAGCCTAGCAAGCCTCTGCAAATGAATTTCTCCCTTTCCCTCATGCCAATATATTATCTCACTGCTTGATTTTAGAAGGCAAAAGACTCAAGAATTCATCAGTTAATTTGCAGAATTACTCAATTCATGTACTTGCAAATTATATTGGTTCCCAGCCACACAACAAGTCCAGGATCACTGGCATCATTGATTTAACAAGACACACCCTAGAAACATGGGTTGTGTCTGGGATTGCCATACAGAAAGAACACAAGACTTTTACCTTTAAAGTTCCCTTTTAACTGAGCACAAACAGAGCTGCATTACCCAAACAAATAGCAAGAATTTTCTAAAGTCTTTCTTTTTGCTTTTGCTATAGTATGAGCTAGCACAGTATTTACTCACCCAGGAAGAGCTCAATGCAGCGATCAGAGTTTTTTCAACACCGTTCACAAACGCGCTTTCTATTCTTAACTCAAAAACCCCTACAAGATTACAATACAAACTAAGGCTCTTACTCTTTAACAAATAAAATAAAATAAAAACACATTAGCCTTTCCTTTTCTACCCTCCTCTTAACTCTAGGAGTTGCACTGCAGCATAGCTTCCCTTCTATAGCCTTCTTCCAGGTGGACTCTCTCAGGAGCCACCTGCTTCCCTCTCTTCCCCCACTCTCCCAGCTGGAGCTGATAATCAAAGAGAAATTGCTCATCCCAGCACCATCATATCACAAAGCCCCTTTCTCTAAGAGCTGCACTTCCCTTTTCTGTATTCCCTCTAATTATTGGTATAAGGGCAGAAGCATCCTTGTGCTTTTTGAGATCCTGTGAAATGATGGAGAAATGCTTGGGAATGTCCTTTGTGTTATTGTTGACTGCAGTCCCTCCTTCTCCTTGGAGCACCAAACAGCCTGGCTGCATTCTCTTCCACTCCAAGCTTCAGTCCACTTCAGGGGAAATAAGAATTATATTAGTCTCTGATACCTGCACACTTCCACAAGTCTGCACTTTGTCTTTGACTTTCACCATCATTGAAATGCCTTGAACACTTAAAGGCTGTGACTTCTTGCTCATTTTAGTATTTTAAAGACAAGAATTGATGTTGTAGTTGCATCTTTTCTGAGAATACCAAATTAAAGAGTACTGGCTCAGCAGGAGACTGAGCTCAATAACTGAATCTCTCCAGCTTTTTCTGATCTTTCTGCAAGGACAGTTGCTTTCAGGTGGAGTAATTAGAAGCATCTGTGCCACATCACCAGATATGGCAGAA